CGCCCGCCCTGCCTTCCGACTGCTGCTCCGTCGGAGCGCAGACGCCGCCGGGAGAAGGGTCAGCGCCGCCCGGGACGCGCGCCCCGACCCCCCGAAGGAGGCCATGCGCCCCACGCCTTGGCGCACCTAGCGGAGCAGCAGGTGAGTCCGGGCTGGGTTGGGGGGTTGGGGACCCCACCCCCGGTTCCCCGCCCTCCTCTGCAGGGCTGTCGCGGGTTCGGGGAGAGTTTCTCGGGATCGCACACCCCCTGGTGCCAGCCTCCAGGCGGGACCGGGGGATCCCCCGGGATCACAGCGCAGGCTACAGAAATCTGCTCCCCGTGGGGGGGGGGATGGATGTTTTTTGGGGGTGGGGTGACTCCAGGACATTGTATACCCCACTGAGGTCCCTGTCCTCCCCAGGCTCCATCCTCACATCTCCAGGGCAGTGTTCCCTCTAAGCTGAGTTAGTGTGAGCTAGCTCACAGTTTTTTAGCCTCCGGCTCACACATATTTTGCCTTAGCTCAGGAAGGAGGGCTCCAGAGCAGACTAATTGATGCAGGAGCCAAATCTCTCGCTCACAACTTTAATGCCAGTAGCTCACAAAGTAGAATTTTTGCTCACAAGACTCCGCAGCTTAGAGGGAGCATTGCTCCAGGGGTTTCCCGGCCTGGATGTGGCAACCAGGGCTCCCTCCAAGCTGTGGGGTCTTGTGGGCAAAAATTCTACTTGGTGAGCGATTGGCATTCAAGCTGTGGGCGAGTGATTTGGCCACTGCATAAATTAGTGTGCTCTGGAGCAGTGTTCCCTCTAAGCTGAGTACGTGTGAGCTAGCTCACACGTACTCAGCTTAGAGGGAACACTGCTCCAGAGCACACTAATTTATGCAGTGGCCAAATCACTCGCCCACAGCTTGAATGCCAATCGCTCACCAAGTAGAATTTTTGCTCACAAGACTCCACAGCTTAGAGGGAGCATAGCTCTGGAGCCGTCCTCCATGAGCCAAGGCAAAGACCTGTGAGCCGGAGGCTAAAAAAAAACCTGAGCTAACTCACACTAACGCAGGTTAGAGGGAACACTGGTGGCAGCCCTGTCCCCTATTACAACTTATCTCCAGGCTACAGAGGCCAGTTTCCCTGGAGAAAACAGATGTTTTGGAGGGTAAACTATTTGCATTGTACCCCGCTGTCCTTCCCAGACTCCGTCCCCAAATCTCCTGGAGTTTCCCAGCTTGGATCTGGCAACCCCACCCCCCACCAGTGGCAACCCTACCCCCCATCACCTCCTTCCTAGCACCCACGCACACTCACTCTAAGACACCCCCTGGAATCGAGATTCGCACCCAGCCCATGTTGGTCTGGGGCTGCCCACAAGTTCTCGCTCCCCCCTGGATGTGACAACCCACTTCCTGGGCCCAGAGGGAGAACCTGAGGCTGGGGGGCCTCCTCGTGGCTGCCAACCTCCAGGTGGTGTCTGGAGGTCTCCCGGAATTCCAGCTGATCTCCTGGCAACAGAGATCAGTCCCTCTTCTCGGAGGAAACGGCAGGTTTGGAGGGTGGACTGTATGGAACCAAGTCCCACTCCCTGCTGACGAACAACCTTCTCTCAACAAATCCCACCTTCCCCGGATTCCGTCCCCAAATCTCCAGGAATTTACCGAGCAAGAGATGGCAACCCCCTCCAGTCTCTTTCCTTAACCCCCCCCCCGCCTTTCTTCCCACCAAGCTTTAAGCGCTCCCTTCCTCAGCAGAACCCAGGAGTCCCGCCCCACCCCTCAAGTGTGTGTTTGTCTCCCCTCCCCCAACCAAAGAAAGATCCCCAAAAGCTCTCATGCAAACACACACCCAGCCCATCGTATTTTCTCCCTTAACCTCTGGCCATGCCCAGAAGTTTGGAGTGTTTCTCTTTCCTCCCTTGTTTTCCTGGGGAGGATCTTCAGCTGCTCCGTCCAGACTCGAAAACAAAGCTCCTAACCTTTACTTGCCCTCACTTGCCCTCTATGCAGGTTCTGACCTATAGATCGGCTTTCCCTAGCGTAATCACTAGGCTTCACTTCCCCTTCCCAAGTGAGCCAGACAGGAGGTTCTGCTCCCTCCCCCTAGTCCCGTGGAAGGGGGAGATGACAGCCCCTTCCTGATTCTCCCACCCACCCCATTCCCCCCAACTTCACTCCATTGCCCAGATCTTGGCTTATGCTGTCTTCTGAACATGTCCGAATTCCAGGGCCTCATCACTGGAGTATAAGGGAACCGTGGCAGAATCCAGCGTCCTCAGAATCTTTGCTTTTGGTGGTTGTTTTTAAGCCAACCAGCAAGTTTCTAGTCCCTAAAGGGTACAAAAATGTGTTGCGAAGTCTATAAGCATCGCCCAACCAAATCTCAGTAAAACAAATTTAGAGTCCAGTGGCACCTTTCAGACCAACAAAGGTTTATTCATGGTAGGAGCTTTTGTGTGCATACACCCTTTTTCGAATATATTGAAACGGAAGGTAAGAGTTCAGACTTAAAGACAGAGGCTGAGCGGCGAATTAAGGTGTAACATGATGAAGATGTTTTAAGATATGCAAAGACAAAATTAAGTGACAAGCTAAGGTTATAAGGTCAGCAGTTGTTTTGATTTAATTAAGGGGAGGGAGAGAAGAGTAAAGCAATAAATACGTCAAAATAGGAGATAAATGTGTAAAGGTATCTTTTTGAATTGTAGGGAGTAAACCATCCATTCATCTCTTCTCAGGCGTGGAGCTAACCTAACCGCATTTTTTCCTTTCTTTTTTGAGGTGGTTGGGAACAGATCTAAGTAAGATTTCTAGCAGTTGGGGGCGGAGGATTGGAAGGGTCTTCATTGTGCTTGGCCCCTTCCTATAGTGAGAAGAATTAAGCGACAAATAATGATGGATGCCTTTTTGGAAAATAACTGGGGCTTGTGCAAATCTGTGTTGTTCATGTACGCTGCAGGACGGCTTGGAACGGAATTTGGGTGTACGTGTTTTCTCTTGAGAACAGCCAGATCCTCTGTGGTAATGGCATTCCAAAGTCCCTGCAGCTTTGGGTAGTCAACCAGCGTGACCCCAGATCACCCCTGACTCCTCCAAGCCATAAAAACGTTAACGAGAACCCTCATGGATCAGACTAAATGCTTCTGTAGCCCCATAGCCTGTTTTCCGGTTCCACACAGAACCAGTGAATTGTGGCAAGGCCTTTCCTGTTCACACCGACATGGGACTGTCATCAAACACCTGTGAGCATATGTTCCTGCCTCAGCCAAAGTCTTGTGCATTATATATCTCTGTGAGGGATTCAGGATCTAGCAGCATTCAGCAACTGAAGCATACCTGCTTTCGGCTCTCTTTCGGCTATGCTCCTGCAGAATGCAGGGGGTTGGACTAGATGACCTGCAAGGTCCCTTCCAACTCTACATTCTATGATATGACTTTTTTTAAAAAAAAATCAAGTTTCTAGTCCTCATTACTTCCCACGATTAGAAAAGATACCTTTACACATTTATCCCCTATTTTGACATATTTATTTATGTGCTTTATTGTCCTTTTTATATAAATAAATCAAAACAACGGTTGCTCTTATAATCTTAAACTTGTTACTTAGTTTTGTCATTGCATATCTTAAAACATCTTCATCATGTTACATGTTAAGTTGCTGTTCAGCCTCTGTCTATAAGTTTGAACTCTACCGTCCACTCCAACGTATTTGAAAAAGTGTGCGTGCACACGAAAGCGCCTACCATGAATAAATCTTTGTTGGTCTTAAAGGCGCTACTGGACTCTAAATTGGTTCCATAAGCTTTGTTTCTTTCCCCTGTATCTGAAGTAGACCTGCTTTCATTTCTTTTTAAATCAAGTTTCTAGTCCTGGTGACTCTGGAGCAGTGTTCCCTCTAAGCTGAGTTAGTGTGAGCTAGCTCACAGTTTTTTAGCCTCTTGCTCACACATTTTTGTCTTCGCTCAGGAAGGACGGGGCTCCAGAGCAAACTAATTTATGCAGTGGCCAAATCGCTCGCTCACAACCTTACTGCCAGTCGCTCACAAAGCAGAATTTTTGCTCACAAGACTCCACAGCTTAGGGGGAGTATTGCTCTGGAGATATATTTTATGTAAGCTTAGTATCTCCCCCCCCTGGACAAGAACCAACGGGTTGAAATCAAATCAGAAGAGTTTTCGTCTAAACATTGGGAGGAACGTCCTGACAGAGTGGTTCCTCAGTGGAACAGGCTTCCTCGGAAGGTGGTGGGCTCCCCTTCTTTGGAGATTTTAAAGCATAGGCTAGGTGGCCATCTGAGAGCAATGCTGATTCTGTGAACTCGGGCAGATCATAAGAGGGAGGGCAGGAGGGGTTGCCTCAGTGCTTAGTTCTCGTGGCCCTTTCTTACACGCCCAGGGAAATGCCGATTGCCGCTTTGGGGTCAGGAAGCCATTTTTCTCCAGGCCAGTTTGGCTGGAGATCCTGGAGGGGTTTTCTGGTCATCTTCTGGGCGTGGAACAGCAGTCGCTGGGTGTGTGTGGGGGGGTATTTGTGAATTTCCTGCATTGTGCAGGGGGTTGGACTGGATGACCCCTGGAGTACCCTTCCAACTCTGTGATTCTTTGCTTCACCCCTGTCCCCTCACCGCACCCTCCTCAGGCCCCACTCCCAAATCTCCAGGAATTTCCCAACCCTGAGCTGGCAACCAGATCTGCTTTAACTAAAAATTAATTAATTAAAAATTAATTTTTAAAAATCTACTCCTGTTGGATCTGGAGATACATTTTATTTAAGCTTGGTTTTCTTACCCCCTGCGTCTGAAACATATCTGCTTTAAATTTTAAAAAAGATAATAATCAAGTTTCTAGTCCTCATGGATCTGGAGATATATCTCATGTGGCTTGGTTTCCTCTCCGCCCCCCCTCCCTTCCAAGGGAATCACTGCTGTGTCGTCATGTCCCTGAACCAGCCCAGCAGCAGCGACGCCTGCCTGAGCATCGTGCACAGCCTGATGTGCCACCGGCAGGGTGGCGAGAACGAATCCTTCGCCAAGCGCGCCATCGAGAGTCTGGTGAAGAAGCTGAAGGAGAAGAAGGACGAGCTGGACTCGCTCATCACGGCCATCACGACCAACGGCGCCCACCCCAGTAAGTGCGTCACCATCCAGCGCACCCTCGACGGCCGTCTCCAGGTAAGCGAGTCAGTCTGGTGTAGTGGTTAAGTGTGTGGACTTTAATCTGGGAGAACTGGGTTTGATTCCCCACTCCTCCATTCACAGCTGCTGGATGACCTTGGGCAGGCCATAGTTCTGTCAGAGCTGTTCTCTCAAAGACAGTTCTCTCAGAGCTCTCTCAACCCCACCTCCCTCACAGGGTGTCTGTTGTGGGGAGGGGAAGGGAAAGGAGATTGTAAGCCGTTCTGAGATTCCGAGTGAAGGGTGGGGTATAAATCCAATCTATTCTTCCTCTTCCTCTTCCTCCTCCTCCCCTCTTGGAGCCATGTTGAGAAATCAAGGCTCAAATCCTGTCCCAGCTAGGCTTGGTGCTCTCGGGGCTCAGTGGTTGAACATCTGCATTGGAGGCAGAAGGTCCCAGGTTCGAAAGACAGACAGTGTGGTGCGAAAGTAAGGATGTTCGACTAGGACTGGATGAGACCTGGATTCATATCCTTGCTTGCCTGGAAACTGATTGGGTGACCTTGAGCCAGTCATTCTCAGTCTCGCCTACCTTGCAGGGTTGTTGTGAGGATACACTGGATGAGGGGGTGAACTATGTTTGCTGCTGGGAACGATCTTGGAGAGTTGGGCTCGGTGGCGGAATAGATGCTCTGAGAGCCAAAAGTCCTGGGCTCAGCCTCTCTTCATAAGGCCCGGGAGGGAGAACACCAGGCTCAACCAACCACAATTCTGAGCCTTCTCACGTCATATCAGGGTCAGCGCTAAAGCACTTGTTTGGCGTACAAAAAGGTCCTGTATTCGATCCCAGGTATCTCTGGTGTTAGGTCTTTCTCTTAGCCCTGTGGGGAGCGGCTGTCAGTCAGAGCAGGCAACACTGAACAAGGTGGGCCCAAAGCCTGACTCTCTCTAAGACAGCTTCTGAAGTCATGGAAGGGCTTGTGTGTGTGATTTGTGGACCGGGCTGGCCTACAGGTGCTCTACAGAAGGCCACTTCATGCCTTTGCATTGAGTTGGGATCGCTTGAGTGTGTATTAACTGCCCTCCAGTCTCTTCCAACTTATGGTGATTGTAACGATTCCTTGTTTTTGTATGTGCATGTCTCTTTAAAAGTTTGGTTGCATGACGGTGGTAGATAGATTAGAGTGGTTGAGAGAGGCAAGTGTGGTATGATTGGTGGTTGACCGAGTGGGGGAGTGGTTTTGGAAGTGAAAATGAGTGGATGAGTATGTATGTCAGTCAGGTTTTTACAGTTACAGGTTTGACAGTTGATAAGTTCAAGTAGTTCTGTGTGGAAGCATTTAAGAACAGCTGAGGTTGTTCTGAGAGATATGATTAGAGATCTGAGGTCTAAGCCTATGAAAACATAAAGTTTAATTGAAGAAATGTTATAGTAAAGTCTGAGTGTTATAACAGACTGGAAAAAGACAGTGAACCTATATGGCATGGAGATAAACAAGTGCTACAAAGTTACTTGAAAAGATCCCTGTCAGTAAGGGAGCAGATTGTGTGTGATATACCAAGCATTGTTCAGTATTTACACCTTACTAGTTACATTGTTCTACCCTTTTATTTATGAATTACTTCAATAAATCCTCTTTTATTCAAGTATACCAACTCTGAAAGAAATACTTCCTAAGGACCACATAGTTCCTCGTAAGCCTAGAACTCGGTCTACCAAAATTAGTAAGAGCAGAAGTAAAAGCATTAATGGGCAAACTGAGAAACTCCCTGAGCGTGCAGGCCTCCATGTTGGTCGGAAGCAACAGAACAAAGTTTTGAGTCCAATGGCACTTTTAAGACCAACAAGTTTAATTCCGGATATAAGCTTTCGTGTGGATACTTATCTGACACGTAAGCTTATACCCAGGGCTTTTTTTTGTAGAAAAAGGCCCGCAGGAACTCATTAGCATATTAGGCCACACCCCAGACAGGACAGCTCATTAGCATATCAGGCCACACCCCATGCCTTCCCTTGGCTTTCCTGCGTACCCAGGCCCTTGGAGGGGAGGCAGCCCCGTGGCTGAGGGAAGCCCTTGGATAGGCTGGGGAAGGCACGGGGGAGGCATTTAAATGCCTCCCCCATCCGTCTAGGGGCCCCCCCTGGCCCACCCGTTTTGGAGTCACTTGGGGGGGTGTCGCTCTCCAGGCCTTCCCTCTGTAGCCACGCACACAGAGGTTTTGGCTGTAGTGGGCATGGCCAACTCTGAAGCCAGCCGGAACTCCGTTCCTGTGCGCTCCTGCCCCACTATAGCCCTGCTTATACCCAGAATGCTTATACCCGCATGATGGAGTGAGCTCCCGTCTCTGGTTCCAACTCCTGCCAACCTAGCAGTTCGAAAGCAAGAAATTGCAAGTAGATAAATAGGTACCACTTCAGTGGGAAGGTAACAGCGTTCCGTGCACCTCGGTGTTTAGTCATGCCGACCACATGACCACGGAAACGTCTTCAGACAGCGCTGGCTCTTCGGCTTTGAAACGGAGATGAGCACCGCAACCCTATAGTCGGATTCGACTGGCTTTCGAGCAAGGGAACCTTTACCTTTATGCCCAGAATTAAACTTTGTTGGTCTTAAAGGTGCCACTGGACTCAAACATTGTTCCAGAGACGGAAGTCCGTGTGGCTGTTTTGTTTGACAGTGGATGTGACGCTGAAGGAATACCACTGCTTTAAACACTTTATTGCAGTCAAGACAATTGGCTCCCAGTGAGATCAACAGCTGGTCTTTTGTGTATCAGAGACACATCTCTGAGGAGAAGTTCCTTTTCTGAATACTTTTTTGGTCACTCTGAGGAAAACTGTTTCATTGTAGGCGGTGAATAAGGATTGGAACACACCCTGAGGTTGAAAGGGGAATGTGTTGTTGTGAGCATTATCGGTTACTTTGTCAACAACGACTGAGGAAGATTCTGTCCGAGTGAAACTCAGTGTTTTTACACCTAGTTCGGTGGCTCAAGTGGTTAAGACGCTGAACTACAGGCTGTGGAAGGTCGGTAGTTCAGCAGTTCGAGACCCGGGTGCCGCAAGATGGAGTGAGCTCCCGTCTCTAGTTCCAGCTCCTGCCAACCTAGCAGTTCGAAAGCAAGAAATTGCAAGTAGATAAATAGGTACCACTTCAGTGGGAAGGTAACAACGTTCCGTGCGCCTTGGTGTTTAGTCATGCCGGCCACATCACCACGGAAACATCTTCGGACAGCGCTGGCTCTTCGGCTTTGAAACGGAGATGAGCACCGCAACCCTAGAGTCGGATTCGACTGGCTTTCGAGCAAGGGAACCTTTACCTTTACCTATTGGAGCAGTTCTAACAATTTTAAGCAGACTTGCTGGATTTATGGCGCGTAGGGCTGGGTTTTCTCCCGTGTAATTGTTACCCTTGGAAAGTAGATTCGGTTGAAAGAAAATGTCTGTCCTGTGGTCACCCAGCAAGCTTTGTGGAGGATTTGAACCTGGGTCTTAGTCGTACACCACACTGAACACAGTAGGGGCTTTTTCCTTGGAAATGCTATTTGGTGTCTGGGACAATCGCAGTTGGTCAGGGATTTTTCGCATGTGAGTGAGGTTTTGATCATCTGGAGGTATCGATCGTCTGGAACGGTGACAAGAATACTTTCAATTACTGAAAGATCTCATTTTATCTGCTGCCTCAGGGTCAGTGTTCCCTCTAAGCTGAGTTAGTGTGAGCTAGCCCACAGGTTTTTAGCTTCCAGCTCCCACATTTTTGTCTTCGCTCAGGAAGGACGGCTCCAGAGCAAACTGATTTATGCAGCAGCCCAATCTCCCGCTCACAACTTTAATGCGTGTAGCTCATAAAGTAGAATTTTTGTTCACAAGACTCCGCAGCTTAAAGGGAGCTGACTGTGGCCTGGTTCACACATGCAAGCTCTTCAGTTGAGGAACAAACTTGTAGCCCTGGTTTAAACATGAAAGGGTTGGGGCAGATGAACTAATTTCTGCAGCTGTGCATGTCCCCAACATTTATGCAAAGCAGCTGCGCATACAACACCAGTGCACCTCTACAACACCCATCCAGGCTGTGGGTCTTTGGCAGCACCAGCATTGGGCACTCACTGCTTCCCCCCAGGGATTAGGTGTTTAAATGCCAAATTGTACCAGTAAGGACTTCTGATCCGGCACCATCAAGTTTGAAATCAGGCCCAGTCTTCACACGCAGTGCAGTGTGCGGGCGACTCCACAGAGGTCACGTGAGGGGTGCAATTTCATTTGAATGTTGTTCTATTCAGAAAGAAACGGGGGTCATTTCCTGCAGGAGTGCACAGGAGCAGAGCTCTGGCAGTAAAGAGCCCAGGGGGCGGGCACATGCAACAAGCCCCACCCCCTTCTCCCAGCAGCCCTCAGTCAGAGCAAGAAGCAGCCAGGTAAGTTGCAGAGCCCCGCCCCCCGCCCCAAAACAGTCCAGTGGCACCTTTAAGACCACGTTTTATTCAGGTACAAGCTCTCCCTCCTCTGTGAGGACAGATCTGCATGTTCCCCTCCCCAATAGCTAGCAATCCAAAACAGTCCAGTGGAGGCTGAGTGGTGGGTGTTGCCTTCTGACACACTTCCGGTGATGTCAGGGGGTGTGGCCTATGCGAATAAGTTATGCTAATGAGTTATGCTAATAAGCTCCTGCACCTCTTTTTCTACTAAATGACCCCTGGAAAGAAATATCCCCGGAAGTAAAAAAATGCTACCACCTCAGGAAGAAAGACGCCAGCCCCGGTTGCCCTGTTTTGTGCTAGTTTTCTACTTGCGGAAATCTTTTTTTTCCCTTCAGCAGCAAGGCGGTGTTAGAAAATATGATTCATCTGCTAGACTGCTCGGAATAATTTTACCACCTCTGAACTTTTCCGCTTCTGTCTGTCTAGTATATTTTTATCCTTCCCTCCCCTTGTGAGGTCGGTGAGGCTAAGAGTGTGTGACTGGCCCAAGGTCACCCAGCAAGATTCCACGGCAGAGTGGGGATTCGAACCCAGGTCTCCCAGATACCAGACTGACGCTTTAACTACTACATTGTGCT